CCAAACAAAGTATCTCCTCATTGTGTACTTAAATATATATAAAAAGGAGTATGTCTTTTGATAGGAGAGCGTCACTGAAGACATTCCTGAGAGCAGATAAGTGACAGTAACGTCTGAGAATCAGCAGACAGGTCGGGAAGGTCAGCCCAAATGACAGGACAAGTGCTGTGAGCAACTGTGTGACAGGAGCTGAGCCAGGCTCCTCTCAGGACACAAGGAGAGTATTGTGGTCTCCTCATACCAGCGCACAGAAAAAACACACAAGTCTCACACGTGCAGCTGCATGACTTTGTGAGAGGAAGAGAAAAATAAAGGCCTTGGCTGGCATTTAATATTAACTGCAGGAATAGATTTGCTGCCATCCCTATAGGGTTTCTCCTGGAATTGTTTTGTCGGCAGCTGCAGGTTTCGGTGGTTTGAGAGTAATGTTTGGTTTTCTTCCCACAACTTATGCTGCTGTGGTCGCCATTTGTTCGAACGTGTTGGAACTAACATTATGTTTATTTTGATACTCTGCTGTGCTGTGCAGATATACTTTCCTGTGAAATCGGGGACAAGTCTGCTAGATTTTAGTTTAGACACTTTCTAAAGAAGTAGTGAAACTTTTCTTTAAGAAAACCACTGTTGAGTAAGTTAGGAAAAACACAACATCAGGGCTCAAAATTGTCATCCCAATGTCAACTTAAACAAATCAATACACATATCGCAAAAGAGTTTGAGTTGGTTAAAGAGTAGGGATGGGTATCGTTAGGATTTTATCGATACCGGTATTTTTCGATACTCTTATCGATACTTTTCAATAATTTGGTGCTCAAAATTATAGACATGATTACAAGATGTGAAGATTAAAGGTAGGGTAGGTAAGTTTGAGAAACCGGCTCGAGATCGCTAGAATTTGAAAATACACAACCGGAGAAAATCTGCCACTTCCTTACAGAGCCCCTCCTCCAACACACACATGACCAAAGAGGGCACGAGATAAGTTTGTGCACAGATGGAAGGCTGACGGGCAGGTAGGCCATCCAGTTATTTTAGCCGGGCCGGCTCAGATGATTGGTCGTGCTTTTTACAGTACTACGGCTTCCAGAGATGATATTTTTTTATGGATTTTTTGTCAAAGCACTTAAGATATTCATTGCTATCGGGATGTTAAGAGCATTCCATGGAATATAACAACAAGTGTATCTCGAGCCGGTTTCTCAAACTTACCTACCCCACCTTTAAACAGTCATTTTATTGTAATTTATTTATATGTATTATTTAATGTAACTTTTTCACTGTCATACCAAGCAGGTGTTAGTGTGTTTGACAGTGTGTCTCTGGAAGGGGGGCGGTGATTAGGGGCAGTTCATAAATCCAAGTAAACATGACCATTATTCAGTTAAAACGAGACGCTGCGTGTGCACCTCCTAAACCGGAAGCTCCGGTCAGCTAACCATTATAATCCATTTATTGCTTTTATTATTTATAATTGTAATGATGGATTATCAGTAATCATTTTAAAGTTACAGAGACATTGGATTAACCGTTTAAAATTACGTAGAAAAGATCGCTTTTGCCAGTTATGTGCTAAAGTAGCCGTTAGCCCCGTTAGCCCGTTTTGCTAAGTGTTGATTTAGACTCTTGGTGTTATTCTGTTCCGTGTAGGTAAAATGGTTAATATCGTCTGTTAGCTGAGTGTCTTCCCGTTAAGTGGGTATGCATCATTAATAGGTTGTTAAATGTTAAGAAGCCTTGAGACGCTGTTTCTAGCAAGATGTTGCGTCTGCCCCTGCTATGGTCTGCCCCCGCCGGGAGTCTCACAATAATAAGAGCGCTGTTAGGAGAGATGACGAGTGGCACTCACAGTGGCCAATCAGAGTGGTACTCAAACCGGATACGTCACACGGGATGAGGGTTCCCAACCAACCAGAATTGTTTAAACTAAGGAAGTAGCGTAATTCATATACCGATAGCAACACCATTTGTCCAGCGGCTTAACGGTATACCGATACCGTCCAATCAGGTACCGGTACTGACTTAGTACCGGTTCTCGATACCCATCCCTATTAAAGAGAGAGTTAGTAGAAAACTGCACTTCAAAATGTAACTTCCCTTCTTTTTATTGATGCCGTTTGATTTGTTCAATAAAGAATGTTTTAGACAATTTACTTCCATTTTCTTTTTAAATTAATTAAGCAATTTGTTGTATTTAACGGCCCGTCCACACAGCAGCGGTAAAAAGATCTTGGAGGTGGGCGTATCTGAAGCTTGGGGATTTTTTGCGAGCAAGGCACCAACAACCAATCACATGAATAGGGACTGGTCATAAAGCACCGGGTGATTCCCTACCGCTAATTTCTCCTCCATGTTTTGGAATATGAGGAAATGACCTGCGGTATGTCTCTCCTAGCATACACGCGGTTTGATTGGCTAGCGCTTGAACTGTCAGATTTGCATACACGGGATTTGATTGGCTGACGCTTCCACCTCAGCTTCAAAAGTTGAACATTGCTCAACTTTGAATCCTGAAAATCTCCGCTCGCCTGCCCACAATGCAGTTCGGCAAAAAGTGAGGCAAAGTGACGTCACCCCATTCAAAGTGAATGGGCAGAAGCGTTTCAAGATTTTTTTAACGCTGCTGTGTGGACGGGCCGTAAGAATGATACTGAAAGCAGCAGAAAGGTAGAACAAAGAACAGGTTTGTTTTATATATCAAATTGTTATCCCAATATCCAACAACCTTGTTCCATATCTTCCTGGTATCTAATAGTCAGTGGAGAGGCTGATATAGTTGGTGAACAAGCTGGGTAATATTAGGCTAACCTGTGCTGTCCTAACACACATTGTAAGTAGCTTATGGCTTCAATAAAAATAGTAGACTCGCCACTCTAACAAAGGACAAACTTGCGGGCCCCGCGGGTTTGTGTCGCATATGCAAACACACATTTCAAATCATGTGTTATTTGTTTAAACTTCCATCCTAACAAATAAATTACACAAATAATCAACTAATTAACTTTTGTGTCAGAGGTATTCAGACAAATTGACTTCTAAATGGGTACATGAATGCAAATACATGTCCCCTATCAGAGTCTTTACACATGCCTTTGTGTTCAGCTGATGGCAAACAGAATTAGCTCAGATATCCTCTCCAGAATAGCGTACAATAGAGTGTGTTTAGTGCGCCCAACCGGTGGGTATCAACAAGTGAGAGCTCTGATGAAAGGCTCTGACGTCGGCTCCATTCATGAAAGCCTGGTGGCAACCTGTGGGGATGAAAATGCTTCCCTCAGCCTATATTGAGCCTGCTATATACAGAGGTTGCAGGTTGTGAAGCATGCCAGCCACAGCGTGCTGTATTTTTAGCCATGACCAAGAGTACGAATGTATACGTTCACATCCAGGCACAATGAGACAGGATATGGAGGTGCCATGGAAGTCAGGGTTGGTCACATTAAAACTGTTTCTGTTTTACAACAAGAAAAGAGTTGCACAAAGTTGAAGTAACAGAAACAACCTAATGCACAGAAGAGAAAGAACGTTCCCCTTTACTGCACAGAGTATGTGTAGAATCTGTTGACAGGCGTAATAACAACAGGATATAGTAACGTGGTTGAGTAATGAAGCGTACTATTTAAACAGTAGAGCCTGGTTGAAGCCTTGTGCCCTTGAACAAAATATCAAATCTCTATCAGCTCCACCATTTCATTGTTTAGTAGCCGAACCGACTTCCAACCTCCTCGTGGAAAAGCACAAGGTAAATATTTCCTGCGGGGATTTATAAAGATAAATATCACATTACACGAGAGCCTTGATTCTTGTGTTATTTGATCATCTCTAGTGCTCGAGCTTTGGTGCATCTCACTGGGAATATTTGACCGAGGGGCGAATAGCTGACCACAAACTAAGTCTATACTGGTTTCCCTGGAGACAAGAGGGGACGTTTCCCAGACCCCTGATATCTGTAAACCTCCCTGCTGCTTCCCTCAAAAAATGTCTACAATTGTTCCAAGAAATCAGCCTATTCGGTTCAAGTACAGAAAATAAGCAGCATATATTATATATATATATATATATATATATATAAACAGCAGATGTAGAGCTGACAAATCCCCTGAAGCAGACATCAGGCTGCTGCCACACAACAGTGCAAATAGTGTTGTTAGCTTTGTGTATCCAAATGAAAATCCGGTCACACAATACAAACTCAAACAAGCCTGCAACTCTCTGATGCATGGGCCGGATAAACGTGTTGTAGGTGGATATTATCTAACACAAAGAGGGAACTGCAAACAAACCATCCAATTTGTGTTAGCTCTTAGATCATAGTTGGACAAATTGTTGTCATAGCTTTCACAGAACATTATTATCTTAATAATGGGGACTTGATATCGTCTTTGTACAACAAATATATTCTACTAAAAAGTGATGCAATCAGGGATTATAGTACAATAATAGGTTCACTTCTCCGAGCCAATGTTTCCCAAGTGTTACACAGTAAAACATCCATCACAAAGATTCAGTGACATAAAAAAAACACCCATTTAAAAGTAAGAGCATCCAGCGACAGCATTAACACTATGATGATACACACTTTGACTAGTTTTTCATGCCAATAAGACTACATCTATACAACAAAAATACCATTTGATTGAATTTAGTTACTATCAAGCTATATGTTTGAGCCGTGCCAGGAACGTTTCTGTCACCGAAGTGTTGTGATATTCCTGATGTGGCTAAAATTAGTATAACCAAGCTATACAAAAATATATATACTCTGTATGGTGCTGCCGAGTCTAAGCCACAAACCACAGGTAACATTTAGCTTCCCTCTTGTAACACCTGTTGTTACTTTGATATGATCTTGAGAGCTTTGTCAGAATCTCAAACTTCAAAGATAAAGTAGCCCGAGAGAAATACTTCAAAAAAAACTCAAAATCTATTTCAGATAAGAAAGTAAATACACAAAAAGTTAGAATTCCCATGATGTATAAATACTATAGCTCGGGTTAACTCACCGCTTTCCCCAGCAGAAACGTCTCAGTAAATCTGTTTAATCGCAAACTGTGCAGCCAGAGAAACATTAGAAAGCTTCTTTGTTGAAGGAAATGGAGACAGGACAGTAACAGTGAAGCAGAGGACTGTCCTCCACCCGAGGCGAGTGCAAACGGTAATCTTGTGACTGTATGTCGACTTCCTCTCACATGCATCCGGAGTCAATGTTAGACTAAGGACCTCCTGGTCACATCACATGTTCACAACAAGAAAAAGTGAGACAACTGCAGCCTTAGTGCACGTACTGTGATGCATTCAGGCGCTCTGGGGTGAATTAGCCATTGTAAAGAAACACAGACAGGAATTCTGCAGAGCAAAGCACGTATTTCTATAGTGACACAGCTGTGGCAGATGTCAACACGTAGGTTCAGTGTTGTTTCAGTGAAAGCTGTACGAGCCTGCAAAACTCAACAAAGAGGGAATGACCTAAACACAAATGCCTCCTTCCAAGTCTGAAGTAACTCTTTATTTGTGTGTTAAAGGTCACCTATTATGCAAAATCCACTTCTTCCTGTCTTTTCTACATCAACATGTGTCCCCTCTGTGTAAAGAGACTCTGAAAGTTTCAGGAAAAAAGATTCTCTCTCTTGTTGTCCTGATCCATTTATATAAAAACCTGTCTGAAAATGAGCTGATCAGATTTTGGCCACTTTATGATGTCATAACGATTTTTTGGCTTGTGTAACCATTAGCCAATCACCAACCAACCATGCCCCTTTCACACCAACGCGGTTCCCGTTCTAGCTCCGTGCTAGAGCTTTTCTGGTTCGGAACCGGTTTTTCTTTTCAGCCCGTTTTGTTCATACCGCCCAGAGCCCGACTGGTGCTGCCGCTGCTGCGTCATGACGTCACCGTTTACGTCGCTGATTTTCTCCCCAGCGGCGTCGGGTCGATGATCGTGTTGCTTTTAATCATACGAAGCCAGATTAAATTAAATAACTACTTCTCAACCCTTGTACTTTTCTCCAGAGTGCCGTGGTTCATTGTTTATTAATGTGTTTCAGCTGCATTTACCGACCGCTGCAGTGCTGCCCGCTGTTTGGCATCACAATGCTGTTATGAACGTTTCTCTGGTATAAAATGGGTGATGTTAGCATAGCAACCAAAGCTAAACTGACTATCTTGACTACTTGTTGCTATCCTATTGTGGCATAAGCCGGCACATTTTACCGGCGTATTTTTTCATTACGATTCTACTTTCTACTATAGTCGGACATGACAACCTGTGCAGCCCATGTATTGATTCCATCCGATAGCATGCTATAATACAAAACAGAATGTCTGCCTGCTCTCCACAATGATCAATGACAGCGAACGGATGGTCAAAGTAAGGCACAAATAAACAGAATCACACGAAGCCTGGTTAGTGTTGCCTGACTTTATAAAGTGTGTTTTTTTTGTACAAGTGTGTGGTTGCGTTCTAGTCACTTTGCTCAGCACTACTGCTTGTTACAACTTTTATTTGCCGTAATTGCGTCGCCATAAACTGTTATTGCTCAGGTTGATCCTGCCCCTGCCCCTGCCCCCGCCTCCGACGTAAGCGTGACGTATGCGGTTCTTGCTTCTAGACCGACAATTTTTTGGTGCTTGAAAAGCATCGGTTTTCGGAGCTTAGAGGCGGCTCCGCTGCGGTGTGAACAGGAAAAAACGGTGCTTTTCAGGCTCTAGCTCCGAACCGGCCTTGGAACCGCGTTGGTGTGAAAGTGGCACTAGAGCACCATTGAGTTCTTTTTAACCAAATATCTCTCAGAGGGGCGTGGGGAGTGGCTCCTTATTTTCATCTAAAGTAACAGACAGAGAATCAGCACTTTTGAAACAGGGCTGAAACAGAGGGGATTATGGGATGCTGCAATGATGAGTAGAGATGTTCCGATCCGATCACGTGATCGGGGATCGGAGCAGATCACGTGATTTTCAAAAGATCGGAAGAAAAAAATCGGGGATCGGGATTTTTTTTTATTAAAATATTTGTATTATTTCATTTAATGTAACAAAACAAAAATGACCATGTTCACGTCTTAAAGTCATCCTGAGGCCTTAGTTTTGGTTTAAAATTACACAACATCATGCATGTGTTGCTTCTTTTGGGCTTGTTTTCATAGACCTGGTTGCTTATTTCTCTCAAATCTGGCAACAGAGTGGGCGCAGTGTCTAATAGTAGCAGTAAGCTAACAAGAGGCTACGTTCAGCTGGTGACTCGGGAGTCGGGACAGAGAAAATGTCAGGAGTTTGGAAGTATTATAAAATTGAAAGCGAAGGCAGTGTAACAGCCAGATGCAATGTTTGCAAGGCGGAGGTTCCGCGTGGTGGAAAGAACAGAGCTACGTTCAACACGATCAATCTAGTACGCCACCTGAGAAACAAACACCAACAACAACACGTCGAGTACACAGCGGCCACTCAGGTAACGGCACTGAAACAACCGACACTTTCAGAGACTTTTAAAAGGAAAGAGAAACTGCCCCAGAACAGTGAAAAGGCCAAAAAAATAACAGCCAAGATAGCTGAATTCATCGCGTTGGATGACCAGCCGTTATCTGTGGTGGAGAACGTGAGGTTTAAGGGACAACTTGAATGCTTTTCTCCTTTTTTTTCTCTTAATGCATTGCATAAAGATCTGATCGGGAAAAATCGGTATCGGCAGATTGTCAAAATCAAATGATCGGAATCGGATCGGGAGCAAAAAAAGGTGATCGGGACATCCCTAGTTAGGAGCCAAACACTTCAGAGACATGTTGTGTATATATCTGAGACCTATAATATATTGATGAAAAACAGTATAATAGGAGACCTTTAATGTCAGATAGAACTACATCAGGTCCACTTATACATCCATATGATCTTATAACTGAAAACAACACAGACAACTTTTGACTAATCTAAATGTTAAGAATATCCTAGACTCTCCTGTCATTCTTCTCAACACGTCACCATTTCAATTATATTAGAAAACAATAAAGTATTTAAGCCCCTAGAGAAACATGATTTGCCAATTTTGTTTATAAAAAGCATCCCTTAGTAAATTGGATGATTTAATGACAGTGGAAGCTGACCAGTAAACAGACGGGCTGCTTATCATAAAACTTGATAACTTTTCATGAAGACATCCAATGCATCGAAGAAAAAAAAACTGTAACTGTGATTAGGAGTAATGTCCTTGTTCTTAATGATCAAATCCAATGTGGGTTACTAAATGGTTACTTCTACTTTAGTTCAAAGTGATCACAACAGGAAACTTTCCACATGATGTCAAAACACAGGTCCCTTGCCTGCAGTCATGAAGTGAGGTGAGGCAACATAACAAATTACTTTATTACAGATATGAGTCCTCTTTATTGTAGAAACTAGACAACGCCACTGTGGTTGTGTATATGACTGCTTTGCATTCTTAGATTACGATTCTTTAGAAATAGATAACATAAATAGTTCCTAGACATTCTGCGGCATGATCCAAACATTCATAAAAAACCCTTTCTGATCACTTGTTTCTGTGAAATGCCAATAGAGAAGCAGAGGTGGAAGGAGTACTCAGAGCTTTTACTTATGTAAATGTAGAACTGTGTTTACGGAGTGTGGAATACTAGTACTATAATAGTAGAGTAACAGTCCCTCAAAATTGTACTTGAGTAAATATACTTAGTTACTTTACACCTCTGTAGATAAGATTACAAAACCTATGTAATTGTTGCTGTTAGGTAAATTGGATACTATTGCACATGCGAAACAGTTAATATTGTAACTTTGAAGGAGGCAGGTAACTAGTTGGTTAGTTGTGTACTTGCCAAGGGATTATTTTAAAACCCCGATCACTATTTAGCAGGAAGGTGTAACAGAATCCCCGCAAGCGCAGTTAGCCGGTTTCATCGAAACTCTCCGGGATGACATGGTCCAAGTCATGGGAACACTATGTCGCAGCTATTAATACGGCCTTTTAACGCCCTTCGTGCAGTTTCTCCGGACAGGCTTCATCTGCAACAGTGTATGAACACAGCACATGTAGAAAAGCGGACAACACACGGTAGATAGCGGGGTATCCTGGCTCCGCTGCATACCCGACTTTGACACTTGCCCTCCGGCTACACAGAACCAGACACTCGCTCGTTAGCTATCACGCTAGTGCACTTTCTCTGGAAGCTATTAATATTGTCAGCCAACCTTGGACATACATGTCACTGCTATGCAAGCTGCAAAAAAAACACCGTTTGTCGCCAGTTCGTCTCACGTTAACCTATTTTTCTTGTTCGGTTGGCAAATACCGACTGCAACTCACAACCAAGAACGCCCAAGTCCATTATCGGACAAGCAGTCAAACCGATGCTTAAATTAGAGCCTAATAACACCTGTATCTTACCTGCATTGTCAAAGCTATCCGTGGTCAAAAGACAGGCATCAAACCTGAAGCATCGCCCAGTGATACAAACCAGTGGCAAGGAAAACAGAAATAACCAATACCGCCAATCGCCCCTCCTCCGCTAGCATAGGCGGATGCGCTTCATTAGCATTAAACATCCCATTGGGTTTGTATACCAAACTTCAGTTTATGAATGCACCAAAATGTCACATGCATGTGTAACCCTACGCTACAAAACATGTGCATGACCGTTAATGGGGGGGTTTTAAGATTTCAAAATGTGAAGAAAAATATAAATGTGCATGTCAGAGTGAGGTGCGTCCGATATTGGACACACTAGCGCTAGCCACATAGCTAAGCGATGCTAACGTTAGCTACCTAGCTAGCCCTCTGCGACACGATTTTAAGCGCCCGGTGAAAATATTAACGGGCCAGTGGTGCTCCGTTAAAAGCCAACAATATTCAGCACTACCGTGACACCAGATGGAACAAAGCAGCTTCAGAAAAACATTAAAATATGTTAGTACGCGTTAAGTTAATGACCACATCGCTCACCATCTCTAGGCATCCACCCTCCTGACAGCGAATCCCCTGTCTGTGTGACCGCCGTTAACATGCGGCAATACAAACACTCACTTCCGGTGAGATCTTCATAATAAAACCAAAATACAAATTATAAATCAACGTTTACACTAAAAATCACCGGTACAAATAATTTTAAATTGTATATTTG